ACATACATATATACATATATATATATACATATACATACATATATACATATATATATATACATATACATATATATATATATATACATATACATACATATATATATATACATATACATATATACATATATACATATACATACATATATATATATATATATATATATATACATATATACATATATATATATATATATAAAATTTATTTTTTTTCCTAAATTTCTGCCCCTAAAAGTCCAAAGTCATTGCACATTTTCTTTTGATTATTTATTAAAAGTACGAGATGAGACATTGCCCAATCTGTGGAGTGGATTTTCCGGCCGCACTACGCACCCCAGCTCGCGCACACGCTCCTGCCCAGCAGAGATGCAGACCGTGTGTCCCACGGGGAGCATCTTCATCCACCTTCAGCTGTGTTTATATGTCTATGTACAGGAGTTCTGACACATCAGCAGTTGTGCGCACTCAGCTAGGTGAAGCTGACAGCCCACCCACGTCAAAAATTCCAGCAAATACAATGAGTGGGGGGTGTCAGCTTCATCCAGCTTGCGCACTCTGCAGAACTGTCTCGAGACACCCCTGTGTGTAAAACGTGCTCTGTTTGCAGGGCGCACAGCTGAAGGTGGATGAATATGCTCCCCGCGGGACATGCTGTCCACGACTCTCTGCTGGGCAGGAACGTGTGCACGAGCTGGTTTGCGTAGTGTGGCCGGAACATCCACTCCACAGATTGGGCAATGTCTCCTCTTGTTGTACTTTTAATAAATAATCAACATAAATATGTGCAATGACTTTGGACTTTTAGGGGTGGAGTTTTGACTTGCCAGATCCAAGGAAACAGTTGCCGGAATGCAGCTGGTCAGAATGAGAGAGTTCCCAGATCTTGTTCCAACAGGATCCGGCTCAAATTAAGCTCTGGTTGAGATGCATAAAATGTGTGTTAATTGTGTAAGTGGCACCTCTGTTCTCACTAAGAAAGAAAAGATGTTGGATCAGGATATTTATTCAGAACAACTCTTGTTTTGATTCCTAGGATTGACCAGGTGTACACAATCACCCATGTCCATAAATAGCTGCAATTGTGAAACAATAGCAGCTGTGGAGCTGCTAAAGGACATCAGCAACATAAAAATTGGGATGGAGAGTGTTATCAGGAATCACATCAAGCACATTTTTCCCCACTTGAGCTGCATGGTTTGTTACATAGCTTCATGTTTTATTTCAAACCTGCACAACAACATACCGGACAATGAATTTTAATCGAATAGCCCTTCAATGCCTATGCACTGAAAGCCTTGATTATATCAGTTTAGTCATACATAGATATCAAACTGTACTGTAAGTTTGGACTGAGTGGACTTTTGGGATTTTATCCATAAACTTGTGTTTTTGTAAAAATAACTCACATTACTGGTTGCGCAGAACTGCCTCTGACCATCTTTGATCTCTGGGCTGAATTTCTGCAGCAGGGCTTTCTGAACTCTCCAGATTGGAGGAGGTTCCCGGCCAGTCTGCAAAGCCATCTAGTCTCACAAAAATAGTGTCATTCAAAAATACATTCTTTATTCAGAACACAAACCTCACAGAAGATGTAGGGGATTTACCTTAAGAGTCCCAATGTCCTCTGTTCGGACCACAAATTCATCCCGTTCACGAAAGATTCCTTCGCCTCCACTTTCACTGTGCTCCTCTTCACTCTGCCCAGCGATGGCAGCATCTGCCTGCTTCTTTGCCAGATGAAGGGAAGTGAGGCGCTGGGAAGCTGGAGCCTCCTCTGGAGTTGGTGGGGATGGTGGCTGAGTGGACGATGAGGAGGGTGACAAAGTAGCTGATGAAGAAGGGGATGGATGCCCAATGTCAGGTTCCTGGTCCTGATCAGAGGAGGATGGGGGAGGTGTGGCAGATGGAGGTGGGATAGAGTGGCTCAGGGGAAGGTTGGAGAGAGGTGAAGACAGGGTGGCTGGCGGGGAGGTGGATGGAGGTGGGGAGGTGCCTGCAGTTGGAGTGTGTTGGTATGAGGACTGCTGTGGCTGAGGCTCCGAGGGCTGGTATGCTGGAGTCATCTCCTCCTCACCCCGCTGGATCAGAGGAGGGGAGGGTACAGAGAAACTCTGAGGGGGAAGGGGTGAGGGTGAGGAGTAGATTGGTGGTGAGGGGGACACTGAGGGTGAGAGGTATGAATATGCAGGGGCAAGCACTGTTTCAGAGAATTTGAAAAACAAGGATGGAGGATGAGATTTAACAAGTTATTGGAAGTTCTTTAAAACAAACGTTCAGGTTTAGATTGTATTCTTTTTAATGTGTTTTTGGAAATCTGAGTATCAAGTCACATTTAAAACTGTGAGATCTTCAGTCCTCTTTGAGCTGAATGACAACCATTTATGATGCACAATCAACTAGAATATGGGTGGCCTTGGCAGGGCCTTTAGATGTGTACTAGGAATACAATGGACTTTTCATTACATGTGAAAGAGCATAATTAGATGACTGGTTCTAAACTTGCTCAACCATACATAGCGAAGTGGTGGTGGTATATTATCAAGGTGGCAGTGTATCAAAATCCTGGTTAGAACTGGTGGCAGCTTATCCACGATGTAAGCCCACACACACTGGCATTGGTTAAAACCAAAACACACAGCAGCGGAAAATTGCACCTAGCATATTTTCAATCGTACTCATGGTCTATGCAGCAGCATCTCATTATATTTCACAATAATGTTCCATTTATAAACATCTCTGTTCATGAAACAGCATTTTTACAAGTACAGTACCCTGCTTGGATATCATGGTTCCCATAGAAGTTTGTCCTTTATGCTGCTTTGACAGCTCTTTTCTTGTTAAGGTGTGGTGCTGTTTCAAATCAAAAGTATAACAAGATGTATGCTATGTTATTGCCAGCAGTTGTCGGGGGTGGTGGGGGGGGGGGGGGGGGGGGGGGGGGGGCAGTTTAGATTGGTAGGCAGGGCGCTTGGTTCTGTTGACCAGACAGGGCGTCCTTGTATAATGGTAAAGGAAATGCTGATGTGTGCTTAGCACAAACTTTTGTATACCTATGGTACATTCAGCAGCCTCAGGACCAATGGCATAGAAAGAGCTGCAATTAGCATACACACTGTACAGATGTGTAGCAACATAAATAACATAGTAATGTAGTTATAATGTATTTTGTAGTAATGTAGCCTTGAAAACATGCCCTTGTTTGGCTAGCCATTAGCATAGCCTGACTGAAGACTTATCTTTCTGTACCTCGTGCTCCATGATTGATGTCATGGCTAACAAGGTAATAACTACTGATAATCATCTGACAGAACATAACTTCAAAAGTTACCAGACTATCCCTAAGTATGAGTATTTCTCTGGGCTGCAGCTCCTGGTGACTATCTGTGAGTGACTTTTGTGAGGGGGTCTACAAATGTCTCGAAAAATGTCTCAGGATTCTTAAATTCCTTGCGGGCAATGTAGGGCCTCTTGTGTTGCAGGAATTTTGAGCATGTTTGGAAAAATTTGTGCAATCATTCTTCTTCTCATAATATTTACAGAATCATTTTGGTAATCTAAAAACCGTCTCAAATTAGTCTTCATTATTCTAGAGTGCTCACACTGTTTTTTGTGGACATGTATGCAAACTGTTGGCTAATCTTGGCCAAATTATTACCATGAAATTGTGCTCAGAGCGATTTTAAATTGACATTTGTGTATTTTCTCATGAGTCTGTGTCTCTAACTAGTTACCAACAGTCAAAGCCAAGCTAGATACTGGCCTAATGTCCTACATTGTAATTGTTACTGAGGTTTATCTTTAAGACTGATTGTGCAACTCCATCGTTTCACCTTAGGCAAAGGGGTCATTATGTCATTGCCCATGCCTGTGGGTGTGTGCTTTTGTCTATATTGTTAGCAAAATATCTCATGAATCGGTCATTAGATTTTAATGAAACTTTCAGAAAGTAACTATTTAGTTGACATCTACAACTGAGGTTTTGAAATGTCCATTCAAGATTATAGACACAACTGACTGAACACAGCCTACACAAAAATGCAGTGGGAAACCCTCAGGGCCTTCAGCACCCTCAGAAAAGTCCTAAGTATTCAGCAAATACAAAAAGTTACATAGAAATGTCATTTTCACTTTTAATTTTATATTATATATTTTTTTCTTATTTTGTTGCTTTATTATTTTCAGTAAACTACCTTGCAGTTGGGCAAGAGGTTTTCTTATTATTATTTCATGAAAATAGTTATCCAGTTAGAATATTTTAAATGTTTGTCTCCAGGCTGAAACAGAAGGAGTTCTCATTGGTTAAGACTTCACTGTGGGTGGTTAGAGAAAGAAACAAAGTGTTTCCAGGTTGACTTTGTTCAATGACTGACAGTAAAATGTACCAGTAATAATGCTGATATAGAGTGGGTGACACCAAAACACTGGGCTCTGAGCCTCCGAGAAGGTCCAGCACAGCATTATTTTGTTCATGAATTATTATTGATTTATGTTTTGGACCATGTAAAGTGTTCTAATACATCCAATTGCAACTCACACACAGGAATTGTAGTTGCTCTAAAAAATGATGGAAAATATCCCATTTAGGTTTACATACATAATTTTCTACAAACCAAATTCCAAAAAAGTTGGGACACTAAACAAATTGTGAATAAAAACTGAATGCAATGATGTGGAGGTGCCAACATCTAATATTTTATTCAGAATAGAACACAAATCACAGATCAAAAGTTTAAACTGAGAGAATGTATCATTTTAAGGGAAAAATCTGTGGTTTCCAAATTTCATGGCATCAACAAATCCCCAAAAAGTTGGGACAAGTCCATTTTTACCACTGTGTGGCATCCCCCCTTCTTCTTACAACACTCAACAGACATCTGGGGACAGAGGAGACCAGTTTCTCAAGTTTAGAAATAGGAATGCTCTCCCATTCATGTCTAATACAGGCCTCTAACTGTTCAATCGTCTTGGGCCTTCTTTGTCGCACCTTCCTCTTTATGATGAGCCAAATGTTCTCTATAGGTGAAAGATCTGGACTGCAGGCTGGCCATTTCAGTACCCGGATCCTTCTCCTACATAGCCATGATGTTGTGATTGCTGCAGAATGTGGTCTGGCATTATCGTGTTGAAAAATGCAGGGTCTTCCCTGAAAGAGATGACGTCTAGATGGGAGCATATGTTGTTCTAGAACCTAAACCACATCACCCCAGTTTTACAGCAACTTCACTGGCTTCCAGTCACATTCAGAATTCAATTTAAAATTTTGTTGTTCACTTTCAAAGCTATCCACAACCTCGCCCCTCCTTACCTGTTAGATCTCCTGCACATTACCACCCATTCACGCTCCCTTCGTTCTTCCACTTCCATCCACCTTAACGTGCCTCTTGTCCGCCTCAGCACCATGGGACACAGAGCCTTTTCTCAATCTGCTCCCCAGCTCTGGAATGCTCTTCCCCCGGACATCCGTAACATTGACTGCCTTCTGACCTTCAAATCAAAACTCAAAACTCATCTGTTCAAGCTAGCCTTTTCACTTTAACTGTTATTTTTAAATGTTATTTTCTTTTTGGTTTAGTGTTTTTTAATAGTTATTTTATATTGTTTAGTACTGTGTTTTTAGTGCTGTGAAGTGTCCTTGGGTGTTTTGAAAGGCGCTGACAAATAAAATGCATTATTATTATTATTATTATTAAACATAGTTCTCTGCATTAATGGTGTCTTTCCAGACATGCAAGCTGCCCATGCCACAAGCGCTCATGCAACCCCACGCCATCAGTGATGCAGGCTTCTGAACGGAGCGTTGATAACAACTTGGGCTATCCTTGTCCTCTCTGGTCCGGATGACATGGCGTCCCAGTGTTCCATAAAGAACTTCAAATCGTGAATCATCTGACCACAGAACAGTCTTGCATTTTGCCACACTCCATTTTAAATGACCCCTGGCCCAGTGCAAATGTCTGAGCTTGTGGAGTTTGTTTAGAAATGGCTTCCTCTTTGCACTGTAGAGTTTCAGCTGGCAACGACGGATGGCACAGTGGATTGTGTTCACTGACAATGCTTTCTGGAAGTATTCCTGAGCCCATTCTGCTATTTCCTTGACAGTGGCATTCCTGTTTGAGGTGCAGTGACGTTTAAGGGCCCGGAGATCACGAGCATCCAGTAGAGTTTTACGGCCTTGACCCTTATGCACAGCGAATGTTCCAGATTCTCTGAATCTTTTGATGATGTTATGCACGGTTGATGATGATCACTTAAAAATCTTTATTTTACGCTGGGTAACACCATTCTGGTATTGCTGCACTATCTTTCTGCGCAACAATGGTGGAATTGGTGATCCTCTTACCATCTTGGCTTCTGAGAGACACTGACACTCTGAGAAGCTCTTTTTATACCCAATCATGTTGTCAATTGACCTAATTAGTGTTAATTGGCATTCCAGCTGTTCGTTATATGCTCAACTTCCTTTTTCCAGCCACTTATTGCTACTTGTCCCAACTTTTTGGGGATTTGTTGACACTGTGAAATTTTGAATCAACATATTTTTCCTTTAAAATGTTACATTTACTCAGATTAAACTTTTGATCTGTCATCTATGTTATATTATGAATAAAATATTGACATTTGCCATCTCCACATCATTGCATTTGGTTTTTATTCACAATTTGTTTAGGTTCCCAACTTCTTTGGAATCTGGTTTGTATAATAAAGTTGTGTTTTGGTTTAATTACATAATGCAATTTTACAGAAACCATAAGCTCTGTGGGTTATTGCCATATTTCAGTTTGAAGTATTGAAATTACATGTTGTATTTGAACGTAAAACGCTGTGTGAGCCGCATGTCCTTCTGGGTAATCATAGTTGTGTTCAGATGGCTTGTCCCTGTTAGTTTCTCTGTTTAGTCGTCAGTTGGTATTTATATTCAGGCTGTTGTTTGTAAATGGACTGTACTTATATAGCACCTTTCTATCTGATCAAGATACTCAAAGCACTTTACAACACAATCTGTGTCCTCATTTACCCATTCATACAGCACTCTACTAGATCTCTACAAAGCTAATTGAACAAATCATTCTAAAGAGACTAATCAGAGACTAATCACATTCATACACCGATGGGACACACATCGGAGGCAATGAGGGGTTCAGTGTCTTGCCCAGGGACACTTTGGCATGTGACTGCTGGTGGATTCGAACCTCCAAC